TCTCTCTCTCTCTCTCTCTCTCTCTCTCTCTCTCTCTCTCTCTCTCTGGCCCACATCTCCGTGGTGTGGAAAGGCAGAAGCCGTACATCATAGATGTGAACACTTCTCTAAACACCGATGCAGATGCACCTATTGTGGCCCATAACAAGAGCTGACAACAATGACACCTCCAACAATGAGGCTGAAGTGTGCTGTGGTGTATTGTGCAGAGCTTTTCAATCCAGACCGGATGTTTTGCTTTCAAATATGGTCGGCGAGCAGCTATTCAGCTCCACATCACCAGGGCATGTCGCCGATGCTGTGCTTGTAATTCACAGCGCATTCATAGCACATCCTCATGAAGGTAGTCTAAATTCAATGAGAGCCAAGGACTGGCATATACTCAGTGTCATGTCATAGAATGGTGAAAAGAAAAACATCCACCAGGAGGCAGATATATGGGCTAACTTTGACTTTGAATAAATTAACTAAATAAGTAAGTCATGAAATAAATTTCATGACTTCCCAATTGAAATGCCCCCCCCATCTTAGCATAAAGTACAGAGCCACATGGATCTGTAAAAAAATCTAGAGTGACAGTGCTTCACTAAGACAGTGCATATTGGATTTTCCTTTGTCATCTTTCTGTACTGTTCTCCTGGTAATGCAGGTGAACATTAACTGAGCAAATATAGAAAAATACTGAAAATATGTTGACATGTGAGATCAGAAGTTGTTATGATTTCAACCATTGTCCACGTTGTCCCAGTCCCAGTGAAACGGTAGTTTGAGCGTCTTCAGCTTCCGATGTGGACAACAATGACTACAGAAGCAAGATGATTGGATTTTGATATACAAATACGAAGAAATAGATTTCTTTTTACATATTTTTGCATATATTGTTAAATATCTGCACAATATGACTGGGGAAGTGATCTAACAGGGTTAAAAAAGCACTTTTAATTTAATATTGACTTAAATCATGAAACATAATTCTTTGAATTCTTTGAAAACAATAGTCTGGCAAAACAATTCAAAGCCAAGTTCTAGCATTTTTCTGAGATTTCTTTTATTTTAAGTGTCATTCAAGCTACTAAACTGAAGTCAACAAATCCAACTCAATGACAACAGGGCACATTCATACATGGTAAAGACATCTGAACGCTAGTAAGCGGGCCTTGAGTTGGGATCATTTTGTCAAAAAACTAAATGAAAATACATTTTTTACAGCATAGCCTCCTCTCACTTGTCATGGATGTTCTGCATGAGTTGGCTCACCCTCTGCAGACACTCGAATGCCAGTATTTTCCATGTTTACAACTGGCTGAAGGTGGGTTGTAGCACGGGCCGAACGCTGAAGCACATAATACAGAAATCTTTTCACGTAGTGGCTCATGTGTCGTCACAGACGCCGGCTGGTCTGCCATGCTAATCACGGTAAATTCCTCTTCGATCCCACTTGTTGAGTCTGAACACATCCTGAAGGATTACAATCACACAGGGTGTCATGGCTGGTTTGACTACCAAAGCTGCGCGCGGGACTAATCTTACATGGAATTTTCTACGTACTAACAGGTCATGACAACTGCACTCAGGAGAGGGATGGGAGAAGGGGAGAGAGGGTTCGATAAGGAATCTGTCCAGTTTTATCTGCAGTAGCTGTCGACACCTCTCTTTTTGTCCTCTTTTTCTCTTTCGCCTCTTCTTTCGGTTCTCATCTTATATCCTGCTCTGTTCTTCTCCTCTCTTTATTTTTTTTACTTGTTTTCTCTTCTTCTCTCCTCTTGGTTCTAGTCTGCTTACTTTTTCTTTTTCGTCTCATTGTTCTTTCTCTTCTTTTTGTCTCGTTTTCTCTTCTATTCTCCTCTTCTCTCCTCTTCTCTCCTCGTCTTCTCTTTGTTCTCGTCTCTTCTCCCCTTGTGTCTTCTATTCTTCTTCACTTCTCTCGTTTGCCATCTTGTATTCTCTTTTATTCTCTTCTTTTTGTTCTTGTTTTCTCATCTCTTCTTCTCTCGGTTCTCGTCTTGTTTCCTCATCTTTTCTGTTTTTCCTCTTTGTTCTAGTCTCTTCTCTTCTTTTTGCTCATTGTCTCTTGTCTTCTCCTCTTCTCTTGGACCTCGTCTGGTCTCTCATCGTCTATTCTTTTTGTTTTGTCCTCTTCCCTTCTTTCTTCATCAGGGATGCTATTGGACAGGGGATGAGGGTGGCAAGCTTCTGATTGAGTCTGATTGGTCATACCCAGGACACCTCCTGGCCAGCACCATTGTCTTTGCTTTTGACTGAGGCTTCAGACTGTGTCCAATCAATTTAGTACTTGGGCTGCTGAAGACATGCACTAGTAATCAGTGTAACCATCACTGTGTTTGAACTCTGTCTCTTTGTCTGACTGTTTGATTGGGGTGAGTGTGCTTAAATGAAAGCAAGAGAGAGAGATTGAATTTGGGGTCTTGGGTAGTTTGTGTGTGTGTGTGTGTGTTTGCCTGCTCTTCCACTCTTATTGTGGAGGTTGTTACGTGCCTTGTGTTTTAACTGAAAATACAAGAGTTGGCCATGAATCCTAAGTTTGCTTCCTCCCTTTTCTCTCTACCTTGGCACCCTCCTCTTCTGCCTCTCCTCCCACCCCCTGGTTGTATGTAGAGGTTCCCATGGCAACGTTGAGCCCATCCAGCGTGACACTGATGGAGGGGAGGCACGTGGATCTGTCCTGTGCCACCTCCGGGGTGCCCTCACCTGAGCTGATATGGAACATGGTGTTGGTCTCCAACTATGAGGTCAGGTCACAGACACGGACACACAAACTCAGATATGTTTGGATTACGCATGTCATATTACATTACACTTCTCTTACATATTAATGAAAACAATTAGTCGGTTCATTGTTTGACAGAAAAACAGTATTAATTGTTAATGTTAATTGTTCCAGTCATTTATTTAACATAAATGTCAAAGGTTTGCTGGTTCATGCCTCTCAGATGTGAGGTGTTCGGGCATTTCTTTGTCATACATGATAGTAAACGGAAGACCTAGGGTTCTTATAGTGCTGACAAAAGATGCCAACTGAAGAAGTCACCTTGGGCTCCGGAAGATTATACTTCTCCTATTTATTTCAGATGTAAAAAAGTAAAAAAAAAGAAAGAGATTTGCAGTCCTAAATGCCTCACTGTTCCTTGATCCCATAGACATTTGGAACCTGAGCTCAGCTATGTCGTCAGTACAAAAGCAAACTCACATGCAAACTTTGGATAATGTAATGAAAATAGTAAAAAGAGAGGGGGGAGAGCTAGCTGAGGGACAGCGAGTGTGATTACTGACAGTGGCAGCGAGTCTTGGTCCAACGAGATTTGGACGAAGCCTTAACGTTGAGTCCTACCTTCTATATAAAGAGCCATGAATGTGATTTCACTTGGTAAATCAGTTGAATCCAACGCTTCGTCACCGATCCAAAACATATTTAACTTGTAAATGATCTGCTTACAGCTGATCAAACCATGAGGGATTATTTCTCATGGCAGTTTCACGTAACATCCCCATGACAAATACAATATCTCTGTAATCAAAAGTTATGTGACTATGCATTAAAAAAATCCTTGTATGTGTTGAGAAAATAGCCAAATCTTCATGCTGATGTATGGATGTGTTTACCCGCTCAGATCGAGACATCAGGCCAGGTTTCGGTGCTACGACTGTCCAACCTGTCCTCGCTGGACCACAACAGCAAGATCAGCTGCACAGCTGAGAACATCGTTGGAGAGAAAGAGTCCTCGCTGCTGCTGGATATACTTTGTACGTTTGCCCTAATTCAATGTAGATTATTGTGTCAAAGCGTTTGTCAGTGCAGTTTTAAAACAGAGAATTAAATGCTAAAGAAGACAACTGTGTTTTGCATGCTTTGACAGTTTTACGTCTGAATTGCTCTTTGGTCTTATCTTATTTTCGGTCTGAACTGTTTGTATCTCACACTGTTGCTCCTAAACTCTCTATTCTCTCTACTACACTCAGTCCCTCCCAAAATCACTAAACTGACTGATGCAATCCCTGACCATCACTGGTGCATCCCCTTCAGCATGTCAGGTAAGACAGACATCCACATCATGTCCTTAGGCTTGAAATCAATCTAAATCTTGAATAGTGTGAGAGTATATAGAAATCACAGCAATGACTAGTTCAGCAAAGAAGACTTATAATATAAGAATCTGAAAAATTAAAAAATCATAAAGTCTCTTGTATTGTCTTCATTACCTTGCCAGGAAATCCGGAGCCGAAGCTACAGTGGTTTCTGGACGATAAAGCGGTGACAGAGGGGAACTTCATCATGACCATGATTCATGACGTCACAGAAAGGGAGTACCACGGCTGCCTGCAGCTGGACAGCCCCACACACGTCAACAATGGCCGCTACAAGCTCTTGGCCAAAAACAAATTTGGGTCGGACGAAAAGGAGGTGGAAGCTCACTTCATGCTCAAACCCGTATGGGATGGTGAGGAGCTCATTGTTGTTTGTAGAAAATCAAGCTTTTACTTTCTTCAAAAACGTACAGAATGAAACAATTATTCAATAACTGCAAGTATTAGCATATGAATTCTTGAGTTAAGGTCACATTAACTTTTGACCCCCACAATCAAATCAGTTCAAGATTAAGTGCAACTGGACATTTGTAGAAATTCCCTCCAGGCGTTTCTGAGATATCCCGCTCACAAGAATGGACTGGACGGTCGGAAAACACACTGCCTCAGGCCACGGCTGTAATCACTTTTACAGTCAGTGTTCCAGGTCTTTTGTGCTGTTCTCAATCGCTCTCTCTTTGCAGATTTGTTCCTCATTCTTTATGCCAAGATTGTGAATTTGTTACAGAGTCACTCTCGCACAATTACGTTCAGTAAATGGGGAGCAGCTTTTGTCCCACAGCTTGATTATGACAGACTACTTTTTTGCCAAAAATGGGATGCCATACTGGCAGTTTTGTATGAGCAATTAGAGGTAGTCACCAGATTTAAAGAAGGAGCTTTTATAATCATTATTAATTGATTGAACACAGAATGTGGTGGATTTTTGCATATTACATTATGGAGCGTAAAGATGATGATAATAAAAGTAAGACATGTGACTTGCAAGACATTCATTGGCATGAAATCATTTTTTGAAGATGCAGATGGTTGTGTGAAGAATCAGTATCAATACAGGTAAAAATCTATAGTATCTGCATATTGCAATAAAACGCCAACAACGTTTCTACCCCCTTGGGTATATCAGGCAAATGGCTAACGTGTCAGAATCGAAAAAACAACTCGAATCAAGAGTGTGGATACTGTCCAAGAAGTGTTTGATCTAAGTGTTCGTTGTTGTATGTGCAGGAACGGAGAAGGAGCCGTACTATTATGGTGAGTGAAATAAATATTCATTGCTACAAGTGTTTTTATCAAATGTAAAAGTGTTAAATCCAACAAATCCAGTTAAGATTCATTGTGTGTTCATAGTGCCACTGTTCTCAGATCAATGTTTCTTTCTGTTTAACATCTCATCATTTTCATCCTCATCAATTAACACAAATTACATTTTAGAAATCTTTCTCTTTCTCTTTTTTCTTTCAAGTTGCTGAGGGTGCGTTACATACCTACACATCCTTGCAGCTAGGGATTAGGGTTGTTGTTTGTCTTTTCCCCACACTGTGTCCCCCGATGTTATTTGTTTCTTTTATTCTGATGTTGTGCATGTTAAATATAAGTTGTTTGTTGGTTTGTGTATTTTGTTTGAGTAATGAATATGTTTTTTAAACAAGCTCAGAGAACAGGCATGACTGACAACATTATTTGTGGAGTGCATGTCAAATAATATACACTTTAAGAATATTGATTTGTTTGGGACCTAATTTGTCTCTATTGTCTCTTTTCTCTCTTGCTGCTTCTCCAACACCGCCCCTCCCCCACCTTCTGCAGATCTAACCACAGGTACAGCCACGCCTTTTATTTGGTCACTCCTAATCACAAACATCGCTAAGCCCTGCCCCCTTAAATTACCATTGAGATGCCTATCAAGTTTCCGTTCCCGCATTACACATATGCAGTTCACAATGATAATGGTGGCAGATATACTTTGATTTTAGACAGAGGCAGACAAAAGCTTCTTCTCATTTCTAGCCGGTGAACATTCTGTAACTAATCCAACGTTAGCCCCTTAAATTGGTTGAAAACAGATTTTTGAATGCTTCAGATTAAAATGAGAACACTGTAAAATGCTTTCAAATACATTATATTGTTCCAAAGCCCTTAGGCTAAAGCTTTACGTCCCAGGCAATAACTTGATGAAAACATGTAAATAAAGAAACAGCAATGTTCTTGAATTGCAGTGTAGAGCTAGTTAGTCCTAATACCGTGGATAACCCTGATTAGCTGCTAATACTTTTAAATTTTTTTAATTAATTCTTAATTCTTTGTATGTTTAAACATCGTGTTTCACTTTTTAACATTAGAAAGGAAGAGCCTTTGAGGATGAGGGCCAACCAAAGTGTTTGGCACCTCAGGTAACAAGGCTGAGGTTGTGGGAACTAAAGGAAACAGCCAGAGCTGATATGCATTCCTAGTTAGAGTAAGTTTGGCTGAGGAAAATCAGATGATCAAGTCTCGCTAAACTGTTTTCTACCAGCAAAGGACATAAGTGTAGGCCTTGCCTACACTGTAGCATTCAGGAATGACTCTCACACATGGCTCTGTCAATTAACAAAGTGAAAAATACTAACTGCCTTGAACTAAATTCACCCGCTGAACAAGCTGTTCAGTGTGAACAGAAGCAGATGACCAACAGATCATATTTAATCAAGAAAGCATACTATTATATTGTCCTTTACTCGAGCTGCAAATCACTTCTCGAGTGAATCTCTCTCTCTCTCCCTCTCTCTCCATCAACAGAGGGCCCCCCTGTAGACCCCCCTGAAGACAAAGTCGCTGTAAGTCACGTATTACTGTTGTACTCTGTCTCTATTTCTTTGCTGATGGCCTCAGTAAGCCATTGACTGTTTGTGCCTGTTTACTTCTGTATATTTGTGTGACTTGTCTAGAAACACCTGAGATGCATCTTTTTTTTTTATGTTTGAAGTAATTGAATGAATCCAGCACGATAAAAAGATATAGTAGTACTTCAGAAAATCTGCCTGTGGTTTGCACCTTCTGCTGCGGAGTTTATTATGTGTGATTGTCTCTTCAGCATAGGAGATTTATAAGTCTGTTTTCTCATTTTGCAGGTGTACGTGGTGGTGGGCATTGCTGCTGTCGCCTTCACCGGTTTCCTTCTAATGTTGGTTATTCTGAAGTTTGGAGGGAACTCCAAGTTTGGCATCAAAGGTAAGACTCCTGAGTATTGGTGGCTTCCATCTTTTGGGTTGACTAAATCAATAACTGAATTAATGTCCCAAAGAATGATGGCGATTTGTTGTTTGTGGACATTGATGGCTTCATGGATACATCAAAAACACATTTTAAAAGATTAATCCAAAATCACATGCTATTGCTTCCAAATTGTCTTTTACGGAGGCTAGCAAGAGACTACTAAAGATAAGTTGTTTTGAAATGTGTTGAAATGTTTAACAGCCTTGACGGGCAGATACATTTTCTAGCTTTAGCTAAGCCATAGCCTTGAAGCACGTATCCCATTAATGCAGGAGTATGAATCCAGCTTCAGTCTCACTTGTGGGACAACTGGTCATACTTGCTCACATTACGAGGGATATATTGGACAATTTCCTTGCGGTGGTTATTTCAGCTCAACAGGTAATAATCTAGGACCAAAGTCTAACATGGAATAGCTTCATGTATTATGATCAGACAGGTTATGATGACAAAGGAAAAATAATAATTTCTGGGACTCAAAATTTGTGTTTGTGGTTGCACAATAAATCCCATTGAATATGCAGACCATCATGTGTCCATGGATCCATCCCGTTCAGGTGGAAACAGCTGCTGTTTGAAGGAGGTTCATCGGGTGATTAACATGCATGTCGACTAAACTGAGCTCCAGTAGTCTTCGTCATGTTGACGTTAAACTACTGTGGTGACTTCTGCAATGGCTACAAGTGCAATTAATCTATTTTCTCTTCTTTATCATACTGACCTACTGATAACTGATTTGTCTTTGTTTCGCTCATTTTGACGCTTTGTTGAAATGTCCTCATACTTTGTGCACTAACAACACCTCCATCACCCCTTCCTTGTCTACATACATAACGATGGTAATGCTATTTTTTCAAATGTAGACGTGTTCGTCGTGCAGCTAAAGAACTGTAAGCATACTGACGATCATCTTTATTTATCACTGGCTCATTTTTGATTGTAAAAGGGATTCAAGTTGAAACTTCGAGAAAATCCCAGATACATAAGCTTGGTGTAGGAACTGTTTTCTGTGCCTTCTATTCAGTTGACTTTTGAGTAGCGGAGTTTTGTTAAAAAAAAGCATAATGCCTTCATGATAAGCATCCCAAGAAATCAACATTCTGAGGATTAATTTTGTGCGATTTAAATAGTTTCTTTAGGAATAAATAACCGCTTGAACCAATAGCATTTGATGCAGTGAAGTTCCACATGCGCCTGTACCTGTGTGTTTGTGTGTGTGACTCTTGTTTGCACTATTGAAGTGCAGTATTTTGGCATTGATTGATTTATGACCCCCCAGAGAGGAGGGGTGCAAGACAGATGAAGCAGCTAGCACATACATTGTGTGTGTGTGTGTTTATATTTATGGTCTTATGTGCGGTATCTTCTTTCTCCAGGAGAGGTGAATGAGGTTGCTCGGAAGGAAATAATCTCTCTAATGCCTCTCTGGATCCCCCTATATATCAGTATTTGTGTTTAAGTGTGTTTTCTCGTACGTCTAAGCATTTTTGCACGTGTGTGTGCTTCTCTTCGTGTGTAGGATGTTGGGTCACATTACAGTTTTGCCCTTCCGATTGCTCCCCTCGAGTCTTCATCCTTCTCTTTTTCCACTGTCGACTTCCTCCTCCCATGCCGTCCTGTCCTCATGCTCCGTGCACAGACATCCAGATGTATGTATCCAAAATATATTGTACTGTATCGGACTCTCCATCCATCCATCCATTCTCATCCACTTATCCGTGGCTTGGTCATAGGAGCAGCAGACTAAGCAGAAGAAAAGAAAGAAGATGTTTGTCTCTTCTTTCCTGTAACTTTTACAATATTAGTATTTATTTATGTTGATAAAAGAACACAGAAAGAACATCAAAGAAAACGTGAATAAGTATCTTTCAGTACATCGTTACCATAATAACACTACATTAGGAGCAACAGAAATTAGACGGATGGTGTTACCACGGTTTTGCACTCCACTTAGTTTTTACTCATAAATGTATGACTTTATAATCTTGCAAATTTGTGAAGTTTTCACATAAATTTACGACTTTAATTTTGGCAAAGTTTTTTGTCTGTATATGCTGCCCTCCCCCAGCTCCATAAGTATTGTCTTTGCTCTTGATATGTTAAACCGTTCGTGTCACAGTAACCGCAATATTGCATTACTGTCCTATTGGACCGCAGGGGATGACAAACAACCACCAAAACAGCTCTGTTCACATATTTTCTTTTGTTAAATTCTTTCTAATGGGAGCGCTACTTATTCACACTTTGCTACAAATGGCAGCAGCGTGACGAGGCGCTGAGCATCTATTCTGCACTGTGCGCTGCTCATTTTGTGTTTTGTTTTCTGGTCGCCAGTTGAAAAATCATACATTTTATCCAAAGAGTACTCTACCATGTGCAGACATTTTTAGTACTGCGGACACCAAACGCGACTAAAGCATCTCAGCTGAAAAAAATGTGGCGCATCATCGCCCTTCTTTTTTCTGCGCTTAACATTGAACAAGTATTTGATTACCTTTAAAACAGTCATCTTTGTCATTTGAAAAGAAACACTGAACCTTATAATAAGCCTTATAATATTTATATTGTACTGAAATCAGAATAATTTAAATAAAATTTAAAAAGGCAACAATACCGTATAACACGCAGTTCAGCCAATCAATATCACCGCAGGGGAAATTCCTCGCAACACCCCCTACCAAAGCATAGGGGTGGGTAAAGTAGCCAAAACATATACACAAGTAAGAGTACTGCTACTTTTCAAAAAGAGTTCTCAAGTAGAAGTAAAAGTAGTCATAAAAATAACTACTCGAGTAAGAAAACAAAAGTATTTACTAAAAACAAATACTCTAGTGGAGAGTAATTTAAGAGAATTGATAAAAACAAACAAAAATCCCATCAGAATACCACATTGAGACATCAATACCTTGAGGAAGGCCTGAGAAACCCCCTTTATGTCAATATACCTTGGAAAGCTACATCTGCTGAATACCCATGTCTCTTGTTTGTGTTACTAAAGGTTCATGAAATTCACCATTTTTAGAATAAGTGAAAATAACAGATTTATACGGTATGTAAACAAGTGCATGCTTTTTGCCCTAAACTTTTTGCCCTAAACTTTCTGAAGGGGAACCAGTTTTCATTCACATATCTTGAATAGAGAGGTCAAGGGACCCTTCTCAATATTGCAATGCCAGTTTTCTTTCACGAAGATTTAGCCTAATTTTGGAGCATTTTTCAGGCCCTTTTTCTGACAAGCTAGCATCATATGGTTGGTACCGAAGGACCCATTAGGTAGTCTAGTTTCCCGAAACTATGGTATGTCCCGGTCACTCTGGACAAGCCTAGGATCCTGCTGTGAACTATTTGTCGTGGGTACTTTTAAATAATACGAATAAAAAGCAGTGTGTTATCTGGAGTAATGGGGGCATCGTTTCTGGGCAGATGTGTGGCTTGAATCAATGTACACTGCACAGCCAATAAGACCACAAACCACACAATTGATTAGTTGCTTAAAAGTTGAAAAGGTATTATAGTATTTGGATATAAACATGAGAGACTTGAAACAGAAATTCCTCCCATGCTTTATAGTGGGTGGGACGTCAGTATCGTTCATCGTCCAACTTGCTCACAAATTAGGCTAAAACTATCTATACAACCTTCCATTCAGAAGGAGGAAGCAACTACACCGCCCGAGTCTTGGCCTGAAATACCACACCAGGGCTGCATTTCACCAAACAAAATTTGGGCTTGTATCCTGGATGAGTCCCATTTGCCACAAATTGGCTGACAATGAAGAGAATCTTTTGAAGTATTTACACTGAAGTGTGTGAACAAGTGAAAGATTATAGCTGAGCTGTATTTATTCAGGAAGTAATCTTGAAATGAAAAACATTTATTTTGTCAGAGAGAAGTACGAATTCTGTGCGATTGTTAAATGCTGCAAAAATGAGAATGATTTGGACTCTGAGAAACATAAAGGGTGATAGCAGGCTGGCTTAAAAAGGCCTGTTGGAAAGCTTGACAGTTTCCACAAAATTACACATAACAACCCGCTCAAAGTGACAGCAGCTTCCTGGAAGACAAAACAGATCAGACAGTGAAGCCTGAGAGGGAAGGAGTTACCTCAGCAGCATCTATATGTGTTCATGCCCCTCGAAGCACCTGCAAGGAGGGAAGCGTCAACATAAACCTGAGTTCTGATGCTCGAACAAGACGGAAATGTCAAGACGGGGGGGGGGGGAGGAGTGATTGAAAGTGAAACAGTAAATGTGAAGTGGAGAAAGTGAGAAGAAGAGAGATCGAATGCTAAAATTGACATTTGACAAGAGAGCAAGAAAAACAGAGAAATCCAGCGAGGGAGTGAGAGAGGAAGAGATGTAAAGAAAGCATAGAGGAGAAAAGAGATGGAGAGAGAAGAGCTAGAAAGAAGATGTTAGAAACTAAGAGAGCAAGACACAAAGTAAAATAAAACTGAGAAGAAAAGAGAGACTGAACAAAGTTCTCTCTTGTCCACTTATCAATGATTCATTAGTGCAGGTTTCAGTTTTTATCCTTGTTTGGCGGAGTTACACGCCTCCATCACCTCCCTCTCTTTCACATGCACAAACAGCTCTTCACTGCTGATCGATCAATATGACACCCTCAAGGTCAGCAGGGCTTCCTTCTGGGGGCCGACCGAGCATGCTCAGCGTACCCACCACCTCCTCCTACTCCTCCTCACCCTCCTCCCGCTCTTGAAGTTTGTTTCGAAGAAAGCTGCTCACCCGCAAAACTTTTGAAAAAGGAAACGAAAGCTGAATGAGTTGAACCACAAACTGAAGAGGCTATTCTATGATCCTGTATTTAGACTTGAGCCGAGTGTCGAACCTCAATGCTTGCAGAGCACTGACCGAAATGTGTCGGCACAACTGTAGAATCAGCATCTGGTCGGATTCTTAGTCTTACTCTTTGATCAAATATGTCTTCATTTAAAT